TTGAATAGTCCTGAGAGGGTGAATACAGATTATTCCATTTCCAAAACCTAAACTGAGTCTGGAAAAATGTAAAAGATGATAAAGCCCTGCAGCCGACCTCATGAGCAGCTGAACAGTGATAAACAGGAAGTACCACATGTTCATCTACATGAAGGTAACTGCAGGTAAATCCTCCATTTTTGTCATAATTACGTTGCATGCTTAATGGTTAAATTAAAAGTTAATGCTTAAAGCTAGTTGTGCTTTGTTTTATGTCAGTATGCAGAAATACATTTCAGCTTCTGCTTGTATAAGTTTAATATTTGTTTGTTATGATCAGTAACACTAAAATGGTTTTGTACAAAGCATTGTTTAGGTTATGCAATGTAAAGCAGAGTGCTTGCTAGCACATCTGTATTGCAAATGTTCTGGTGGAGGACACCCCCCCCCCCACACACACACACATTATGAATGCTTCTAATGCCAATTCAATTCAATTCAGTTTAAATAGCGCCAAGTCATCTCAGGACACTGGTCAGAATGACCACCATGATGTTCAAGCCTAAAGCCATTGTCAGCAGGAAACGTCTTCTGTTACAAATAAAGTCCAGTTGTTTTTGTATTGACCGTTTTTTGAATTCATCATGTCCTGGATGACTGAGAATCTTCACCAGCACATGTCAGCAGGGGGCTAAGCACCCCTAAAGGGCAGATTCTAGAATCACCCCTGCCCACATCCATAATGAACCAAAGGATGCAGTAAGGTGTCACTTTGGATATTTTGTGCAACTACCAAAAAAAAGTGATCTTGTGCAAAAAAAAAAAAAATAGTACCCCTTTATGATTACTAAAGTGCCACCATTCAAACAAGATGTTTTGTTTGTTGTTCACATGAGTAAAAAGGCCGGAATATTTACAAAATGTAAATAGGTCATCATTCTGACTTGAACTAATGATGTGAATCTTTAAATGAAAAGTTTAGTCTGGAAACTTCCACAAACTAAACATTTAATATGTTTTACTGCTTCATCTTCAGTAGCAACATGAACTAAACTCTGTCATCCACTTCCTCACATATATAACGAAATCTGTTTTTTGAGAATATATCAATTATTCATTCAAATGACACTGAAAATCTGTGAATCAACATTTCAGCACAATGCCTGAGGTTTCTGCGTTTGCATTCTCTCATGTCTGCCGTTTTTCTCTTTTCAAGCTTTGGTAGCATGCACCCTGCTCGTGGTTTTGGCAGGAGACATGTTTGTTTTGCTCACATTTGGCATCTGATATGTGATGTGACTCTGAGTCATGGTTTATTGCTGCCTCCGTCCTCACACCTCTTTAGCTCTCCGTTGGGATGAGCTAGGGCTAGAGAAGAAGCTAGAAGTGTCAGAAGCCAAAAAAAAAAAAAAAAAAAAAAACAGCCACATTAACCAAATGGAAAGCACCCCCAGAACATGCTAGAGGGACTACACTTCCCATCTGGCCTGGGAATGCTTCGAAATCCCACAGAAGGAGATGGATGATGAGATGGAGGAGAGTGCATCTGGGCTGGTCTGCAGTTTCTGCTGGTGTTCTGACCCAGATAAAGAGCATAAAATTGATGTATGATTTCATTTTTACGGTTCACACTGAATACCCTAGCGCCAGCGTGAATATTTTTTTCTCATTCAGTTAAATGAAGATCGATATTAGCAAGAAATACAGTACACAAAAAAAACCCTCGTGTGCTGTAGTAGGAGGGAAACGGGCTTTTAATCTCTATGATACGTACATATATATATATATATATATATATATATATATATATATATATATATATATATATATATATATATATAGGAGCTACATAAGGATTTAGATCCAATATAGAAACAAAAGAGGTTAAAAGACGTGTCAAAGCAAAGACAAAAACAGCATCATCTTCCAGATCATCAAACACACGAGAGCAACAAAATCCAGGAAAGAATCTTGGAAATCAAACACTTTCTATGAATCTCTCCCCTGCTGCCAGAAAACATCACAGTCTTTATACTTTTGTCCAATTTGATGCTTCAAGATTTCCCAAACCTTTAGCATTTTTATTATTTCATGAAAGCAGAGATACCAAGCTCAGATCTAAATTTATCTCCTTCATCCTAATCTGTTTCTAAAGGCGGCGTTATTTGCATATAATTGTATATTCCTTAAATAGTTATGTCTTTATAAAAGTGTGGGAATGATTTGATAGATACTGAACACATTATCAAACAAATTAATCTTTTTTTTTTTATCTGTTTCTTCATCTTCTATTTTCAATATTATCTCCCTTTGTTGATAGTGTGAATGTTTAAGAAGCATTCACACTATTGTGATCCATTTTTCTTCCGTACGTTTTTCGGCACGATTCTCGTCCCACAACTTTTGAAGCTATTTCAACAAATCATAAATCAAAACGTTCAATTCTTTCAGGACACTCCTGCTATGACTTTTGGTATTGATGAAACTTTAGCTTTTTGAAATATTTAGCCTTTTCTGCCACTTTTTTCTCATAGAAAATGAACTGGGCTCATTTTACCTCCTTCAAATCTTTAAATCTGTTTCCAACCTTTTACTGCTCCTTTCACATTTTGTTCTGGTTCAGCTTCTTTCAGATTCCTTGTGCATATTTAAACTTTTTTCAGCTAATTTCAGCTATTTTTAAGCTGTTTTATGGTCCTTTCAGATTATTTCTGCTAACTACACATTTTTGTGCTTCGTCTAACTTCTTTCTGCTAAGTTCAGCTTGCCATGCTCCTTTTAGCTTATTTCTGCAAGTTTCAGCTTTGTCTGCTATTTCAGATACTATTTAGCTGTTTTATCCTAATTTTAGAATTTTCAGTTAATTCCATATTTATTGGCACTCATTTCAACGTTTTTCAGTCTAATTCAGCAAACATGTGCTCTCCCTACTTCCTTCTGGTAATTTAAGCTTCTTTCTGCTTTTTAATTTTTAGCTACTTTTCAGTGTTTTATTTATTTTTTTTCAGCTTTTTCAGATAATTTTGACATTTTTGTTCTCATCTCAGTTTCTTTCAGCCTAACTGGGCAAATATGTGTT